TTACATCAAAATATAAACCAATATTAACCCTTTCATGCATGGTGTCCACATTTTTGTTCAGATCATTTAACTCCATTTTGGGTGAGATTATAATGACAGAGTTCTCCAAATCCTTTGGGGCCAGTATGAGTACACCCGAAGGAATATTGTTACAGTTACTATTTGTATTCCAAAATTGTTTGCTTGCTGACACCCTCAATACAAGATGGCCAAAGGTGGTAACAACACATAAAAAACTTAAGGCATTTCTGTTAGAGGTCAACTTAGATTTAAACAAATAAAAATAAATACATAAATAAAATAATAAAAAAGATATTTATTTTGGTCCGCTGTGGCTTCCTACTCCTTTTTACTCCTTTTTTGCACATATCCACATTTGTGGACGTTAACTTTTCAAAACTTTGTATAAAAATATAATGATGGATTTTCATTTCAGCAAAATTTGGAATGATAAAATCCCGAATCATTTCTCTCATAGTTCATGCATGAGAGGGTTAACACTAGTACAGATATTTCAGCTAACTTTATTGGCACTATACATTGTATTTGCTATCAGTCCATACTACAACAAGCAGTTCATCTGGCTATTGAGCTTTAGTGATAAAGGTTAGCAGCAGGCTAACCAGTTTGTAATAATGTGTGATCATGGGTGTGTTCCCTGTTACTGATATTCTACTTTCATTGTCTGAATGTAGCATTCAGCCATTAGCAGACAAAAGGACTGATACAAACACAATTATAAAACATCCAGTAATTGAGCATTCTCAAATTACTTATCTGCCATCTTCTATATTTAATTTATTGTCAACAAGCCTCATTAAAAGAAATGTGAAAAAACAAATCAATCCCACTAGCAGTCATTGTCTGTGTAGCCAAAACCTGATACAACTTATTCTTCTGTGCTATTAGACGTTCATTGTTGTCCAAAAACTATTCATCACTGAGTCACACTGTTGCCCGTAATTCCTTAATTGTGCTGAATGGATTCTAATTCAGTCCCACATACACCATCCTGCTGCTCCATAGTGTACCAAATCTGTATTTTGGAGTTTGACTAAGCCAGTACTGATTTTGGTTGTTTGATGGGAGTTGTTGACAGCAATAAAGATTTTGGACATTGCCAGTCTTTTCCAGTAGTTTTTAAGTTTGACATATGTGTTCATATTTCTTGTTTTAAAGTATTCCATCTTGTATTTGATCCAGGAGAATCCAGCTTTGATTGTACATGAACATGAGAGAGACAGAGGGTCATCTTGTGTTTGGTGACTGAGGGGAGAGGTGGTCATCAACATGAAGGAGTACCAGTGCGTGAAGCATCACTGCACCAGTGTTGTGTCTGACGCATGAACCATGGAAATGCCTGCTCTCCCACAGGTCTTTCTTCTCTGTGTCTTATCTCCAGTTTGATATGTGACACTTTGAAGAGAGCTCAGAGTTGAGATGAGAGAAAATTAAAATCTGGCGATTGTTGTTTTCTATGTTGGCCATAGGGATGAAGAACAATGTAGATTAATTTTAGGTATCATATAAATGTTTCTAAATGTATATTTAAATGTGTAAAGCAATGAGTGATGATAACTTTATTGTGTCAAAGAGCAGAAGCCTGACTACTATCACAAACCCCAGACAGTGCTGTGAGAAAGTAGTGAGGGAAGACAGAGGAATATTATTCTGCCTGAGTTTTGTTTAAAAAAGTAGCCATTTCCTAGAGGCCACAGGCAGATAGGGGGGAAATGATGAAACATCATAACGCACTGTTGTTGGGTTTGTTATCAGTTTGTTTCCATGCCCACAAAGAGAAGTGAAGGACTGGGCCTTTTTTATGCCACCGTCAGCACATCAAAATAACACCTGCCGTTCTTTGACCACCGTCTCCCGCAGGCTGTGTTGATGATGCTTTCACAGCTGTTTTGATGCTGATAGTTAATGTTTTAAGAAGTGTAAATAAATCTAGTCATTTTTGGCAAATCACTAGTTTTCATGATTTAAAAAGTAACTTAATAATTAAGATGCATTAATAGGAAAACAGATGTTTGTAAAAATGGAAGAAGTCATTTCTTTTTCATGTGTCAGTCCAGGTCCCATACCTATCTAGTTTATCATGTGTCTCTTGCTGAAACCAACCCTTCTAAAATTCCCTCTTACTCATCATGCTGTTTGAGTCTTGACTATTTCTTGTTAAGGGTCAGAGGCAGTATTGACCATTTCCCTTCCCCTGCACAGTGATGTTGTTTTAAACCCGGAGTTGACCAGAGACTGATCTGAAAAAGAATGGGTGTATTTGGGGACTGCCATCCGTCATAGGGTCTGAAAGGGTTGTTTTCTCCTGGCCCCGTCACCTCTGATGAATCCCCGCTAAAGACTCCGCTGGGGCAGGCACAACCAGCATTTGCCTTGGCTCAGAGGCGCTGCATTTTCTTTCTCTCCCTCTGATTTTTGGCAAGATACTTTTAATTGTGCCACAACCTTTTGTACACGTAGCACATTATTTTAGAGTGGGTTTGTTTGTAGTGGGTGGACCACAGAAGGGTTTGAAATTGTATTGGGAGAAATTAATTTTCTATGCTACTATTTGGAAGTCAGCTACATGGACATCCTCTGAATGTCTGTGTGCTCCTCAGGGATACGGGTCTGCCTTTGCACTCATTTATTTCCAAGAATAGAGTAAGTCAGAGACCAGTTTATCTTCTCCATGACCGCAACCCACTGAGTTGAAGCTTTGTTTAGCTTTCAGGAGCATTCGTAAGGTTATGACTGTTGTAATGGATGTCATCACATATGCTTGCTCTGTAGGATTGTCATATTTTTCCTTGTAATACAAGAACTGTGAAACTAGTGTTATTGTAACGACTTCAGTTACTTTACAATAGGGACAATCGAACATTCACTGCTGACAACAAGTCGTGTGAACTAGTTATGTTCAAGCATAAACTGATTGTAGTTCTCAAAATGTTAGAAAACCACATCCAGACTACTGTAACAATCTCCCACTATGTTGGACAGTTTAATTTCTTTTTTACTTTTTAGGCCCTTTTATCGCTTCACAGGAGCTTTTGTTTTTGGCCTTTTATCAACAGCTGTTACTGCTGGTCATGTTCTGCACTAGTGGCCTGAACATTCTCCAAATACTGCAATATCTGTAGAGCAAGTACTCCTTCAACGGAACTTAAAGCAGGGAAGTCACCAGGAAGGTAGATCAGAGAAATTTTGTAATAACAGCACTCCCTGTTAATGCCATCTCAGCAGTTTGCCAGCTGATTGAGTCACTCTTCCAGTGACTTAAGACTTCTCTCTCTCTCTATCTTTTCCTTCTCTCTGCTCATTTCTAGTGTGTCACACACATGCACACACACACACACACACACACACACACACACACACACACACACACACACCAATTCTTTTTAAGTCCATTTAGCATTTAGGAGTCACTGATGTTCACTGGAATCCTAGACTAATATTCCAGATGGCGATGACAGGAACTGGCCAACACTCCTCACCTTGCAGCTTCGTCCCTGGTCTACAATCTCAGATTTGCAGTGGGGATTTAAAGTCATCTCAAAATTAATATATAATGTAAGACAAATAAAATTTATTTGTAAAACTACTTTATCATCATGCACCACGATGTGGTCCAAACTGTAAAAGCGTCTGCATTAAGGAGGAACATGGGGCGTTTCTCTCGTGATAGATTGTCGTGGTAATTTGATTAATGTCCAGCAAATATAGATTGATAAATATGGCACTGAATCTACACGGTATATTTTTCTGACAGAAAAAATCACTGTCACTGGTTCAAGCTTTAAAATAAAGGAGGACACCAAGTGCTGATCTGCCAAATATTATAATGTTAAAAGATCCACTGCAGCTGTCTTGCATTTATAGGCATATTCCAAGTTGCTGCATTCCTGTGCAGTTCCACATCGAGTCAAGCTTGAGTTAAGGTCAAAACCCCTATCTCTTAAGTGCTCATGCACACACACAACCACACAGATACACACACAAAACTCCCCCTCTCCTCTACTAATAAATAATTATCCTTCTGTGTGATGTGGCTTTGCTCCAAGGCCATGCAGTTAATGTGAGCTCCTTTTAGCAAAACAGTACTGTTACCAAAACGGGAACATTCAGAGCCCGCTTTCTGCATGTTTTTACATTTTTAGTAATAAACATTCTGTATATTCATTATTTGTAATTCAGTCCCGCACTGTCTTTTTTAGTATTAGAAACACTTATGACATATGGAATTTAAAAAAACATTCCTAACTTTGGATATGTAAACACCCTCATCTGAATTAACACATTAGTAAGAATTAAAGATTCGGCCTTACTGAAGCTAAGACCTTCTGAGTCACGTATTTTTCAATCTCATCTCTTTAATTTATTCTCTTGCCTCATCCAGTCCATGACTTATTTTGAAAGTGGGGTATGTTTCATAAAACAGATGAGTCAGAAGAGTCGGAAAAGCTCAGTTCAATAGTGTATGGACAACAAAACATCTCAGTTTGACTGCTTTTCCCTTTTTTTTTTTTTTTTGGTTTTAAAATATTTTAAGCTTTGAATACATTCAGTTTTTACTCAGTTGTACCTGTTTGGTATCCAGAATTGTTTTGATGCAACTGAAAATCAATTATGCAAAATAATTGCAATTATAATTACAATTGCAACCATTATCATAGTGAGGACTTTAACCACTATTCTACATACTAACTACGTCTCATGTAGCTGTTTCATTCTTAATGCCCTTCGTTACAGTTTTTTGTTTTTTAGACAAACAAAACACCTCTGTCCTCCTTGCACACACTTATACAAGCTAACACAAACATTCAATATGAACAACACTTGAACTTGGAAAAAAAAAAAGAGGAACAGGACCCGATGATGCAAATTAGTTAGTAAGAATCCACTCAAAAGGTCTGACTGGGGCAAAGCAAGGGAGTCATCTTCAGGCTCCCTCGCTCCTCCCCCTGTCCAATGAGATACACAGTATTTGAGCCTTCAGGAGAGTAAGGAAAGCCAGACATTATAGAGCCAGAGGGACAAGGCACTGATGCCCTCACAGACTTTTCTCCAAATCCACTCCACATACCCAGGGAGCTTGAAACTTGGCATCCAGACTTTGATCATCATCACACATTCAGTTAAAAAGTTAGTTATTCAGTTCATCACTTCAGATGGAAACATGGCTTCTATAGTGTAGCGGGAGCGCTGATGCTTGTTGTTAGCTCCATGCTTCTTGTTCCTTCAGGTAGTGTTTTGTTACATTCGTAGGAGCTCATACCGTGTGACTTTCTCATTTCCAAGCGGGAATTCCATCACTCCTTGTTTGAACTGTCCTGAACTGCCTTCACCAATGCTGACTGAAGCGTGCGGAGCCATGTCGATGGGGCCAGATGTTCGAGATCTGACCCTCTTAACTCCAGCGCCTCCAGTGCCATCCTTACCTGGAGCTGGTGGAAGCTGTGGGATGTCTGTTGGCGGTGGCCAGTGGACCCAACTGCTGGACCTCCACCCCGGCTCTCCCTACAGCTGCCTGCCTTCCCACCACTCCCTCATCAAGCAGGAACCAGGCTGGGGGACCGCTGACTCCATAGAGGACCCTCACTGTGGACTCGGAGCCTTCACAGTGCACTTCTCAGGCCAACTGACAGGCTCAGGTCCCTGTCGGGCCGGTGCCTTTGGAGAACCAACGGCAGGTCAACCTCGAATGTTTTCCAGTGGAACCTACTTGCCCAGCTGTATGGACAGTCCTCCAGCACCCAGGACCGAGGGTAAGCATGCTCATTACCAGTCACACCTCTGCCTCCTGTCAGCACTTTATTGTTACAGGGGCTGTGAAATATGAGGAGTTGTTTTCAC